ATTATTCTGTAAATTTCTGTTGCTTTGCATAACTAGGCATCTTGTAGTGATGTATTAAATAATACTTTGCTTTAGCTTGATTGTTAGGTAGTATATATTTAAGCATGCTCATTACTGTCAAACTGTTTAATAATTGGAATAAGAGGAAAATAACATAAGTTGGTCTTTAGTGAATCGGCTTGGCAAAACTGATTAGTTCACTAGCTATGAAGGTTTTAATATTGTCAACATTAGGTTAATCGTGAACATGTGGCTAAATTTAGTTAAAGCATGAATTTAAATTAATTTCGCGAATTAGGCATTATGGCATGATTTGAGTTCAAACAAGACGAGTTAACGTTTAAATTTAATAAACTTTCGAATATGCATTAGTAATTAAGATTGATTCTAGTTTCAAATAGTTGTAAATAATTAATTCCAACGGTTCAAGTCATCTAACAATGCGAGTTTAATCTAGTTATATGATAATTAGTTTCTTTTGAATGTATTATTTGTCGATTCCGTATTTTATTTATAATTTCAATTTTAGTAATATTCCTTTCCGTTACCATTTGTCTTAATCTAGCATTTAATATGTTACACCTTTTTTTAAGCATGTAATTAATTAGGATTTTTTCTCTTTTATTTTAGAGACGAATTTAATAGAAATGTAGTCACTTTAGGATATCCTTAAAATAAATAAGGCGTGCTTCGCCAAAATAAATACAAAATTGTGGGGCCCTCAATAATTATTTGTTTTAAAATACTTAGACTTAGGGGCGAGCCGTTTAGCTAATTACACGGCCCTACCCAAAATAATGATATGCTAGTCGCTTTAGGCGCGTATTTAATAATGTTATACTCTTAAATTCGGGTGCACATTTATGTGACCCAAATCCAAATCTCAACGGATTTGAAGTGTGTCAATAACCACGGGTACATTGATGTGACGTGGTTTGAGATACGTTTTTTACAATGTTGTAATTCTCTGTTAAAATAATAATAATAATAAAAGTGGTAAAGAGTTTAAAGTTTGCACATAAGTTCATAATTGTATAAAATCAGATAATCAAGCCGAATATGACAGTTGAGCGACCGTGCTAGAACCACGGCACTCGGGAATGACTAACACCTTCTCCCGGGTTAACAGAATTCCTTATCCGAATTTCTGGTGTGCAGACTGTTAAACAGAGTCATTCTTTTCCTCGATTCGGGATTCAACCGGTGACTTGGGACACCATAAATCTCCCAAGTGGAGACTCTGAAATAAATAAATAAATCCCATTTTGATTGTCCTTTAATTGGAAAAAACTCCCTTTCGCGCCCCTTTTGGGCGGCGCGGGCAAAAAAGAAGGTGTGACAGCCGATACTGTTGAGACCCGAGTGGCCGTTTCTTGTTGTCATCTCATTAGTTTCATAAATATTCTATACTCAGTCTTATTCATGCATATCATATCATGTCTCAATCTCAGTTGTTATTATGTTGGCACATCATATCATTGTTTCGGGCTAGTTTTATGGCATTGTGAATCCATGTGTGTGAGACTGGAGAGTGATGACTGAGTGAGACCGAGAGCCTGATTATAAGTGATAATTATGGGATCGAGCTGCTCGCCGCAACGGTTATGTTTATGATTGTGATAGCGCTTGGGCTGTAGGAGCCCCTCCGGAGTCTGTAACATACCCCTAGTGAGCGCGGTTGATTATATTCAGGGATGGATCTTCCCTTGGTATGGAGATGGATCTTCTCCATGTGGCTAGATTAGCCTATTTTTCCTCGGTACTGGAGACTGATAGTCAGTGATTTATATATTCCGAGATGGATCTTCCCTGGGCCGTGTGAGCCATATACAGTACCAAATGGTTATGAGGTTATTATCATCATCTAGAGATGGATCTTCTCCATAGGGCTGGATTGCCCTTCCTCGGTACTGAGTGATTGCTGTCAGAGATGTGTGTGTATATATATATATATTCCGGGATGGATCTTCTCTGGGCCGTATGAGCCATATACAGTATTGTGTGGACGCGCATTTGGGATTGTGTGCATATGAGGAACTCATCATGGTGCATTACGTGTAGCATGTGCATTGACATGTAGATGTAGCAGAGTTATAGTTCCTTACTATTTCATATTTGCTCTGTTTCACTGTTTTGAGCTGTATATTAACTGAAAGCATGCCTACATTTTTATACATTATTTCTACTGCTCCTGATGAGGTTGAGTTCGTCACTACCATTCAGTCCATAGTTTGGACCTGTTACTTACTAAGTTGGTGTATTTATGTTACCCCCTGCACCTTGTATGCAGATCTAGGTACTTTCGATCCCAGTGGCAGTCACTGATCGAGGTTGTAGGCTTTGGAGATTGTCGAGGTATCTGCATGACGTTCGCAAGCCTTGACCCCCATCTCTATTCTAGATGTGTTTCAGTTGTATTCAGTAAACATTGTAGTATACTATGCTATTTCTCTAGACGCTCATGTACTCCGTGACACCCTGGTTTTGGGCTGGTTGAATCGTATTATGAATTTTTCTTTTATGTTTTAAACAGTTTATTTTAAACGATAAAAGCTTTCCGCAAATATTTCCAATTTTAGTATTGTGGTTTGGATTACGTTTAGTTTTGGGTCGTGACAAAATGATGGGTCCTTGAAGGAATGGAGAAAAAATTATAGATGGAGTGAAAGAAAAGTGGAGTAATGGAGCTTGGTTGGCCAAAAATGGAATTTTTCGGCTATTGTTGTTGATTTTCTGGTAAAGAATGCTTTTCTACTTGCTTCTCACGCATTTGATGAAGAGTATAATCACTTTCTACACCATGTCAGCAAAAACAGGTGAAATAATTCCATTTCAAAATAGTTCAAGGAGGTTATAGAATTCCCGCAGAGTTTAAATGTGTAATTGATAAACTGAGATTAGTTAAGGGGTGGTTATGTATTCTCCCTTTTTATTTGTATAGTTCAAAATGATACAAAACTTTATTTATATAGTTTTTAGAGTTAATACTAAATAAATTTTGTCATAAAAAATTAAAATATTTTATTATCTCGATTTCATGCTGAAATTTAGACACATTAACGTTTACGTTTGCCGAAAATTAGTCATCTGGATCCTTGTTATGCTCGTTTTTCTCCTAATATCATCCTTTGTTCCTTTCATGGTTCTACATGGTATTGATTATTTCTTTCTTCCTCAACTTTTAGAGTGTTTATAGTAGAATCTGGTTTTATTTTTTCAAAATGTTTTATTGCTTCTGCCCCATTATACGAGACAGTTTAATTTTAAACTTACTATTTACAATAACAACAGTAACATACCCAGTGCGATCCCACAAGTAGAGTTTGGGATGATAGAGTGCACAAATGCATGCATACCTTACCATATTTTGTGTGAGGTAGATAAGATGTTTCCAATAGACCCTCTTATCGAGAAAAATGTTTTCAAAACATATTTAAAAAATGCAAGAGTAAAGAAACTATGATGAAAATACTAAAAAAAAATATTGACAACAAAAATAGTACCATAGCAAAAGCAAAAGAAACAACAGTAGTAATAAAAGTTAAGAATAAGATAATAATAAAATAATAATAATAATAATGATAATAACAACGACTGTCACACCTCCTTTTTACCCGAGGGGGATATAAGAGAGTTTTTTCAATTAAAGTGACATTAATCGAAATGAGATTATTTTATTTAATTCAGAGTCGCCACTTGGAATAATTTATGGTGTCCCAAGTCACCGGTTTATTTTAAATTCCAAATCAAAGAAAATTGACTCTATTTTTGGTCTGCGAACACAGAAGACCAGGTAAGGAATTCTGTTAATCTGGGAGAAGGTGTGAGGCACTCCCGAGTTCTGTGGTTTTAGCACGGCCGTTCAACTATTTCATAATTGGCCTAATTATCTGATTTATTACTTGTTTTAAACCTATTGTGCATTTTTAACTTTATGATTGCTTTTATTTGTTTATGAAATTATTTCTGGAACAAGTTACGATTGTCGTACACTTGTTTGTTTTTGTACACGTTGTGAATCGTGTCATGGGAACCGTACGCACAATTTACAACATGTGTATTTTATTATTGTTCGAAGTTGTGGTCGGGTCACATGAAATATGCACCCGAATTTGAAAATTAAGTATCATGATTATGCCACGGAAACCATACTCATTGCCATGATGATTTATTTGAACGCGCCTAAAGCAAACTACGAATGTTTATGCGATCTAAAGTTATGATATTTAAATAGGTTATGTTGTGCATAATGAAATATCATTGAAACACTTTGTAAAGTAATTTGATTCTATTATTATAAAGAACGCGTCACAGAACGAGTATAAGTTCATATCAACAATATCACTTTTAATAGGTATGGCTAGCATCAATTCTGTTTTGGGCTAAATGAATTGACGTGGATACAAAACATGGACCAAAGGTTTGGAAATGACACTTTGGTACTAAAACGTGACTGGGCTGCAGTAGGCTATATCAAGCTTTAAATGATACAATCAGAGGAGGAAACAGAAATGGGCCTCTGTCAGAGCCCAAGTAGCGTTCAAGTAAATTCCATTTTTTGGGGGCAGCATACTTCACGTAGGGATTTCAAAACAAGGATCATATAGAATCACATTTGAAATAAATAATGAAACAAGAAATGGGCCAACCAAAAGAAAGATGTACAACATGGACAGAAACTCACACCACACACTTCAATTATATTACAACTAAAAATAAGAAATGATATTACATAGTCCTGCTGATTGCACTTGGTGCACTAAATAAATTACTATACAACTTCAAACTAACAATTACAATTATGTGAAGTGTTATGGCCTGATTCTGACCCCGTCTGGGCTAATTGATTTAACAAGCAGGGATCCCGTTTCTCCTTTCATTACTGCCCGGTTGGCTTGAAATCTAGTCAGTGATGGATTTGATCAACTGGTGATCAAATCCAATTACTGCTTAGCTTTGTCTTCCACATGCCAATATCAAATCAAAATTACACATTAATTTCATGAACTAACACTCAAGTAAAGCAGTAGCACTGTTTCCATTACATGCTTAACATTTTTTTAAAGAAAAGATCTAGACTTTGATTGAAGGAATAGTGTTGAAACACTCTTCATTATTGAGTCAAGCAAAGATAATTTAAACCTAACAAACAACCTTCAGTAGTGATAAACCAATTTTAACCACAAGAAACCAAACTTGCACATCTCATGGACACAGAAAGAGTAAAACTCAGATTTCAGAAGTTCATAGCCAAGCTAACAACATGAACTATTCAATACTACACATAACTGAATTTTAGTTGAAGACAAAACAGATTCCTAGCACCTTTTACCATTAAACCTCTAAAATCCACATGTGTCTCATAGGTTGGATAATAGAACCTTCATGAAGTCAAGACATTATACTTAAACATTCAGCTTACATACAAAAAGGAAAACTAACCAACCAAACAAGAACAATCCAACCAAAATGCAGCAGGTAACTCAAAATGGAACAAGCCTTACATTTTCATATAACTCAAAAGAACAACAGCAAGTTTACATATCTAAGAAACAACAAGGAGCAAAAGAACACAAGGATAAAAGGATAAATCTCTGAATTTGGGAACAACTAAACCCAGAATATCACAGCAGCTTGATTGAAAGAACCAGCAAACTCAGCAACCAAAATAGTAAATCCCAACAGAAATCTGATGTACAAATCAATGTAGAAGACCCAGATGGAATTCTGAATTTTTCTGTATTAAGTATTGTGTGCCTATTTTGAGAGTGAATATGCTGATGAAAGAATGCGTGTGAGTGAGTGAGAGTTTGTTCTTTATATAGAGTGCACAAAGAAAAGAATAAGAGGGAATACTCTATCCTAAAATTCAGAAATGTCAGCTGTAAAAAAGGACAGTACAACATCTTTTTTAATAGATTTGGTACAACTATCCTTTTACTCTATTTTCAGCATCTTTTAACACCAAAAAAGGGACAACTGTCCAATACTAGAAACTTCTGATATTTTTTTACCTTATTTCTGACCTATTTTTAATTATTTCATTACACTTTAGTCCCTATCATTATCTTCTAGAACCTTCCAGACAATTCTACATTGAGACTCCCTAATGTTTGTTTTCAATTGACCCCCTTAAACTTCTGTTATTACCCTTTCAATTCTTAACTCATTCGAACCTAAATAATCAAATAACTAAGAATAAATCAAGGTAACTTATTAAATAAACTAGAACAAATACCTTGATTAACCCTGAGCAAATGATTGAACTAGTGCAATAAACTAAAAGGCCTTAACTTTGCAGAGTAATTAATCTAAACAAATCTAAATCCAAGACAACAAACAAAAGAAAACAACAAAAGAGAGAGGAAAACCATAAGCAGTAATGCAATAACATTTAGTAGCTAACTTAATGAACCTACCTTTGATTAAATTAAACAAACTTATGAGTTAAACTAATTGTATGTAACTATCTAGACAGTCTTATCAATAAAAATAGAACAAACAAGAGAAAAATAAAACAATTGATAACGGTAAAAGAAATCAAGCAGAAAAAGGAAAAAAGAAAGAAAAGAGGTATACCTAAACCGGATTCTGCCGATTTGAGACCAAGTCGCCAAAAGTCCTTGTGCCAAGAGACCCATCCAAAATTTGAGTTCCTGATAGGACATCTTGACACGAGGACCTCTGAAAAACCAGCTACACCAATGGCCATTAAGATTTCTGGGTTCTCTGATTTGAAAATCGAAAGATTTTGAAAGGGTCTTTGGATTGAAGGTGAAGGGAGGTGTGATTCTGGGGAGGTTTGGAGGTTGAATCGGAGAAGAAAGAACTTTGTCGGAGTTCTAGCAAAGTCAGTGACGTTCTTGACCGGATTTGGTGTCTGTCAAACGTTATGAAACCAACATCAATCAATAGCTCTCAACAAGAAAAATCAATTGATGTAAGTTATAACGAAAAACAGACCCGATTTAAATCAAAGAGAAAGCAGAACTAGGTTTTCACTACTTCTTAGATCTGAAATTCAATGGGTTTGGTGAGGAATTAGGGAAAACTAACGGTGGATTAGTGAATAGGGAGGCTGGGGATTGTGGGGTGTTAATTTGGAGTGGTTTGGGGGTGGCCATGCCGTGAGGCGATTTCCGGGCGGCGAAGGACGGCGGAGAAGGTGAAGAGTTTAGGGGCGGCTAGGGTTAGTCTCTAAAAGAGAGAAGAGAGAATGAGGGGGTGTTTTGGGGTTAGGGGTTCCATTCGTACAATTATAAGGGGTGTGGGTGTTTATTTCTAGGCCGTTTGATCAAGGAAGATCGACGACTAAGATCGCCACTACTAAAACGGCGTCGTTTTGTTAAGTGGGGACTGGACCAATTTTTAGAGGGTTTGGGTTGGATTAGGGCGGCTTAATGAGGAAAATTTGGGCCTAGATCTTATCTTGGCCCAAATCAGGAACCAACAAAAAATCCTTTCTCTTTTATTTTTCTTTGATTTTAAAAATCCTAACTTAATTAATTAAAAACCTAGAGTAGGTCTTGAATTAAATCTAGTTTGTGAACTAAACTTAATTAACTATTCTAATATTTGAACAACTAATCAATTTTAAAACTAATAAAATAAAATTACTCATTTAAAGATAAGGCTAAAATGTAACATGACCAATTTGTTTTTGTGATTTTCTGTTTAATAAATGCAATTAACTTATGTAATTAAATTCTAAATGCAATTAAAGCCTTAAAATACTATGTAATGATGATTTGATATTTTTTATATTTATGATTTTAAAAATATTAAATGTGCACAAAAATACAAACAATTAATTAAGAAAACCTACAAAACTAAAAAATAATTTAGAAAACCTATTTTTTAGTTTTTGTAGGAGTAATTCTAGTCGGGAAAAAATTACGTGCTCACAACAACGACGTCGAAGACCACTGATAATAGGCTAAATTGTTTAATATAGCCTATGTTTTAGCTCAACTTAAGGATGATTTATTATTGTAAATGTTCAAATAATGCAAAAATTGGCTCTAATCATGACTTTAAAGTCTCACAGAAGTTCAATAAACAAATGAGGATTTATGATGGTAATCAAGTGAAAAATGGAGTCAAATGACGAAAAGTTGAGCAGCAACATCTTAACAAGAGAAAACCCCACTAGCGCGGGTCATGCGCTCCCGCGCTAGTTCAATTCTTTTGGACAGAAAGAAATTCCACTAGCGCGGGTCATGCGCTCCCGCACTAGTCCAGTCCGGGAAATCAATTATTTGGGGGCAAAATGGGAAATCTGGGAGGATCCACTCAACTTCCATAAAGTAAAACTCCATTATTGACAGAGAGATCAGATTTTTGAGGGAGAAAAAGCCATAGAAGAAGGAGGAGCTTCATCTTGGAGCTAGGAAAGGAGAAGAAGAACATCATTTTAAAGCAAAGATTCAAAGAGTTTTTCTAAACTTTCTTCTATTTGCTTGTTAATATTATGTTTAAAACTTTTATTATTGATTTTTGT